TCCAGCCCCTCCGAGCCTGAACCCTCCTCATCGCTGGTTCCGTCCAGCCCCGCCGGACGGAACCAGATATAAAGTAAGATATAAAGTAAGAACTGCCACATTTATCAGTGGTTCTCTGGCCCCACCTTCCATAATGTTTATCTCTGATTCAATCAAAAAGCTTATTCTGAGGTTTTTCATTGGCGTGTGTTTTGGATGTGGGTGGGTTCAACTACTTTATGAGAAATTTGAAGAATTTACTGTCACACAACAGGTAAACCCAGACCAGTTTATGCAATAACAGCAGTTTCCTGTAAGTGATATTATATCAGGAACTGTACTCCCATTTAAAGAAAAGCAAAAAATTAAAACCTGCTAATTTCTTGTCAAGACTTTCATTTGAAATGAAACGTTGATTAAAAATAGTTTGATTAAATTAATAAGTGTTATAAATCTGTTTTGAAACCGTTTTTTTTCCAAGGATATCAAGTATGTCAGACTGTGTATGTATATTTCCACCGCAAATCTGGGCAGCTGTATTCTAAGAGAAAAAAAAACCTACTTTAAGAAAATTACTTAAAACAAAAGAAAGTATGTCCATGCAGCAAGTTAATATCACTTAACAAGAAATCCCTGAAATAACATTATTACATCTAAAAATAAATAGAGACCTTATAAGTATTCAAAATGGTTAGAATAAGTAGAAAAGACTTACTTGAAGCCAAACTTCCTATAGCCAATGTGTGGTGTGGTGGTGTTTGGATAATTGTGATTATATTTGGAAAAAACAATTGGAAAAAACTGTAATAGTTTTATCAGTGATTATTGTGAGATCTCCCAGCAAGCAAAGGGAAGGCGACAGTGGGATGTGGCAGCCAGCTATAGTGGATAGTAATTGTGTGACCTCTTCCCAAAAGTGTTTGATTGGAGTGCAGTGCTAGGTTGCATTGATGTAGGCTATGTATCTGTAGAATTTTGATTGCAATGTGCGCAAACTTCTGATGTGAAACTCATTTTAGCTAATCTATTGCCCGTGTAATGTGTTCTGTGAAGTATTTTGTATTGTATTAACTGAAGATTCCCATTTTTGGACATGAGATGTGACATGTGTATATGACAGATTTGTATATGAGACATGTGTTGCGCTTGTGATAACGCGTCGTAGGTCACATGATAATGTCAACATGGCAGATGTCCGGTTCGCATTCATACTTAACGAGATTTGGTTATAAGGTACCTACTCTTTTAGCGCCCGTTGAGTAAGTTCTTATTGAAATTAAGTACCTCTCATTGAGTATGCGGTTTCGAACGCAGCCCTAGTATGCGTGGTATGGCCTTATGTGATTCCATTACGTTAAAATGTTGCCTCGAGGCAACATGCAGTTTCTGTAATTCCTTATGATACATTTGATGATATATAATGTAATATTTTTGAAAATACTTCTTTACTAACCAATGAAAGTGAATATATTCCTATATCCTCCTGTGAGTTGATGCCACAGTTGCTGGGTCTCTACGAGTTTCTCTGGACTGGTGTTCAAAGATGAACTTGTGTTCGTCATCTTAGCCAGGTGTTTCACGTAACGTGAGATATGTTGTTTTGTGGTGGGGTGCAAGAGGCTATTGGGATCCCTGGAGGCAACCTGCACAATGGCAGCATACTCTGCATCTACCTGGGTGAGAAGGTCTTTCTGCCCACGGTACTTTGCCAGAAGACCATCAATGGAATCCTTCATGGGTTGTGTCCACTGAAAATGGTCCAGGACAAAAAGTAGACCCCCTGCCTTGATGGAACCTGTGCGAGCAGCTCGTGGAGAGGGTGCAAAGGGCAGTGGTGGCGTCATCTCATCTAAAAGAGAGGAAAAGGGACAAAAATGTACTAATTTTTACTTTTATCTCCGAAATATCTGTAATATTTATATAAATAAGGAATAATTAAGGGAAGAAGATGTGAGCTGAATCACCTTTTACATTGGTGGGCTGTGCAGGCTGGATCATTGTTTGTGAGCCAGGAGAAATCACACCAAAGATGTCATCCTGGAGCATAGGGTAAATAATTTGGATTACAATCAGTAATTACATAGTTAGATTTTGTATTTTAGTGATTGGGGATATTTGTAAGTACAGCAGTCAAGTTTACCTGAACAAAGTGTTCCTCCCTCACCTCCTCAGGTGTGTCATCAGGTGGGAAGGTCTCGCTGAGTGCAGACGGCTGTGAGGACTGATGCTCTCCCTCCCCTGCAACAGGTACCTTCTGGGACTTGTGCTTGTCCCAGTCCAGGGGGACAGGACGACAACCAGGCTCCACATACTGTAGTCCAAACCTTTCTCTGGTGTCTGTTTGTGAAACAAGTAAGGCAGGGTACTTGGCCTGGCCTGTCACCTAGTCTGAGAGCTTGTTCAATTCCATAATCAGCAAAGGATCAAAAACTGCAGGCAGCTTCACTCCAGGCTGCTTCATGTCCACGAGGCGCTGGAAATTCCAGCGAGCCACTCCAATCATGCCCTGCGCCTGGAAAAGTTCTGTGGATACTTGAGTGCCTGTGACCCATCTTGCCTGATGGAAATGGAACCCCTCCTGCTGAGAGGTGCCTCTCACAGGGATCCACACGGGTACAGCTGCTGCCTCCCCCTTCACATGGTTCAGCTGGACCGTTCCACCATGCCTATAGAGGATCCCCTCTTCAATTTCTGGGTCACTGAGGCAGCCTCTGAGGATGTGGACTCGCTGAATCCTCCACACCTTCAACATCGATGGTTTGAAAAGTGGCCCACCATCAGGATCGCATTCTAAAAATAATTTTTGGAGAACGCTCTCCACTCTCTCCAGCAGCTCTTTGGGGTGTGGGACCCTAGTGCGACAGTGCTCCCTGATGTGCTTCTTTGTTGGATTTGCAGGCACTATCCCACAGAAGACATAAGCCTGCTTCAGTCTCTGTAGGTCCGTCTGGTCCACAACACTAAAAGCTGCTGACAGAAACTTGCAGAAAGCACTGTGCAGTGGATGGTGCTCAGAAGTACACTCTCTGGAGAATCGCCGCATGCAGTGGAATAAGTCCAGCTTGATGTTGATGTCACTATTATATTCTTTGCGGGAGGCACAGGTGTTGATGAGATTCCCAGAGGTTGCCGCAGTCACTATAGCCTCAGTGGTCTTCCAAGAATCCCAGTGGAGGTGCTCCTGGGGATCAGGGTTTGGGATCCTGAAGGCAGCACAGAAATCTCTGTTCCACACACAAAGAGAAATATATTTAAAATATTAAACATTCACATAAATGGAATGTATTTGCAATACTATATTTTGATTACTTTACAAATTTGCTGTAGGTGGGAAGGAAAATATTATGGCTAGTTTCTTACCTGTCAACCCACTGGTAGTTGGCTTTTGGCAGTCCTGCAAAAATGTAACGACGGGACAGCCCCTCATACATTGGCTGCAGGGATTTATCACATTCGGACTGCAGCATCACCCAGGACAAGATCATCCAGTTTTCATTCATCACAGCGTATGATGACATAGTACCTGATGCAAGCACAACCTTCCGGGCCACTTTGCGGGTATGGTAACCCCCTAATACTTGTCCAAATGTGCCTTGAAGGAGCAGATTGAGTGTGCTCTCCTGCCTATGGTACTCCTGAATGAGGCAGTCAACCAAGTAGTGGGGTGAGACTGTTACTCCTAACCAGCTGACCACATCACCATACTAACCAAATGGAGCAGGAGTATTTGCTGCTCTTAGTGCCCCTGTGATGGTCTGCTGACCATAAAGTCCCCTGTCTCCATCCAGCACATTCTTAACTGTGGACAGGTAAGCCAGGTGTGCACGCTCATACCTGAGGTGGAGAGCTTCGTTCAACTGATTGGCCATATCATTGGGAGACTTTCCTGTGCGCCGCAACTCATCCATCACAGTCTTACATATGGCCTTCTTGTGCGTCAGAAAAGCTGGAAAAATGTTGCAGAATCGACTTGGCAGCATCTCCATCCATTTGGGGTTTGTCTGCAAACCAGTACTTTTTACAGACTTTACAGGTGAGCCGAGAGGCCAGCATATAGTACTGGCTGCTTGTACCAATAATGACACGGGGTCGTCCAACTCCTGATGAGACAACTTGAGGATTTGGACAGCCGTTCAGACATGGCAGAGTGTAGTTGTTGCGGACTCTTTCCATAATGGGGTGCTCTGGTTTCCAAATGAAGACTGGATGAAGTTGAAAGTATTTTGGTGATGGCAACTTATAGACAGAATCAATAAGCTCAGGCTGAGGTGGGTAACGCCACAAGGAGATCATGTTCATTGGATGTCTCACCATTCTAGAGCCTGGCCACAGTCCCAGGTTTTCCATTTCTGTTTTCATCCAGATTCTCTGCTGGTGAGAGCAGTTCCATTGGCTTACATCTTGCTCATAGCCTGGCAGTGGTGGAAGTGCTGGCTTCTCCTCCAACTGAGTTGAGGGGTACCCAGCAGAGGCTGCAGGGAGTGCTGTGGGTGGAGTAGAGGCTGCAAGGAGTCCTGACTGGACAGCAGCTGCAAGGGGGCCTGAGGGAGGAGTTGAGGCTATAGACTGTGTAGAGGTCACTGGGAGGAAGGCGGCAGGATGACATGGTTGACATTAGTCATAGATGAGCATTACATTTGTAACATATGTTAAATCTGTTTTAAATTTTATTAAGTAAAATTATGTTACATTAAGTCCTTACATTGACAAAGCATGGTTTCCTGCACTGGTCTCAAAGGCGATGTGGTCTTGCTTGTCGATAACCCCAATTCAAGCAACTCTGGAGGTACTGGCAAAGGAACCCTCACTGGAGTGAATGGAATTGGTGAAAAACAATAACACTGATCAGAAACAGGCATATCCTTACAATAGAGTCGGCATGTGCACACGTCCATGTACTAACCTGGATGTGGAGATGCAGTAGCACTATATTCATCAGGCCGGACTGGTTTTAAGAGTGTTGCTGGTGGTTTACGCCTCCCTAACACAGAAAAATGTAATGTCATTTTTAAACCCTGTAGTACTGTCCTTTAGTAAATGTGTTATTACGTAGTAATGGAAATGCATGCAAACCCATAGAACACAAGTTCAAGTTAGTTTAATAGAAATAAACTAACTTGAACCTGAACTTGAACATATAATATTAGAGGTGTGGTATGCTAATGCATTACTATTACACAAGTGCTAGATTACATGGGTAATTTCCAGCTTCATGCATCAAAACGGATCCATCACTCTTGTCCAAATTAATACATATTTGTACATATTTTGCTGTACTTCTGCATTTTGGTACATACCAAACCTTTAAAGTATAGCATTCAAAAAACATGCAAAACAATTACTGTGTACTTACCCTCAATGATGAGATATAAATGCCTTATAAATGTTAGTAGAACAATTGAACACAAGAATTAGAACAGGCCTGAACGTGGCCTAACCAACAAACAGCAACAAATCAATGTAGAACAGATAATCCTGATTCATGTCAGAATCATCCCTAGCATGCAGTAGACCTTTGACCACTGGGACTCCAACTACTTCTGAACCTGAAAGCATAGTGAAGATAATGTAACTTTCAAGCATTTATAACATAAACAGACACAATGACAAACACTTTAATGTTAAATTAGAGTACACACCAAACTACACACAGATGTGAAAAATGTAAAATACTGCTACGTGTTTTTTGCTTGTTAAGTATCTATCTATCTATCTATCTATCTATCTATCTATCTATCTATCTATCTATCTATCTATCTATCTATCTATCTATCTATCTATCTATCTATATATATATATATATACTCACACACACATTATACTGTATACAAACACTGAATATGCATAAGCCAAGTCAGAAAGTAAACTTTATTTCTAAAGCACTGTGTGTGTGTGTGTGTGTGTGTGTGTGTGTGTGTGTGCGTGCGTGTGCGTGCGTGCGTGCGCGCATATATAAGTATTACATATGTATGTAAACGTTTGTTTTTCAGTTGCGTGTAAAGCGTATAATGTGCTTGCAGTTTTGCAGACTTGGTCTGAAGATTAGGTAAATGACTGAATGCATTCACTGAGTGGGCATCAAGTTCTACTTTTAGTGTCTAAGCAATTTGAATAAACTAATATAATAATTTACAGGCATTAGAACAGGCCTGATCATACCTAATAAACAAACAGTGATTTGACAATGAGTTGGATGGATAATCCTAATTAAAGACAGAATCATCCCCAGTGTGTAGTCAGAATATGATCTTTGGCCATAGGGACAATTTGTGAACCATGCACAGTGCAGAGACAATGTAACATCCCAAACAATACCATCTTGAATAATCCTGAATAAAAATGTAATGATGTTTCATGGAAATAAATGCAGTTTGATAGAGCAAGTATGTATATGTATGTGATTCTCACTCAGTTGGCTGGGAATTTTAGATGAAATTGTGGGTAGCATCATCCTCCCCAATTCTTCACCTTCCTCCACTTCTATGGAAAAAGAACAAACCAAAGATTGGTATGAAAGGATGGAATTATAAATATCATCAACTGTTGTTTATTCAGGGAAAATTGACTGAGCATTAAGCTCTTTTACAGCAATACCCAGACTCCACATTCATATGGGTATACATTCAGAAAAATATGGATATAGCAACTACAATAAATACTGTGTGTGTGTGTGTGTGTGTGTGTGTGTGTGTGTGTGTGTGTGTGTGTGTGTGTGTGTGTGTGTGTGTGTGTGTGTGTGTGTGTGTGTGTGCGTGTGCGTGTGTTGGAGCACACGTGGACCTACACTACCAGTCAAAAGTTTTGGAAACAGTTGTGTAAAAAAATTTTCAGGATTCTTTGATGAATAGAAAGTTCAGAACAGCTTTAATTTTTTAATTTGGAACATTAGAAATGCATTTACTGTAACTTTTGATCAATTTAATTCATACTTCATTTTTTCCCCCTAAAAAATAACGAATAATTCTTACTAAACCCAAACCTTTGAACGGTAGTGTTTAATGTTACCAAAGCTTTCTATTTCAGATAAATGCTGTTCTTTTGAACTTTCTATTCATCAAATAATCCTGAAATAAAAATGTAAATGTAAACTAATTTTGTACTGTAATACTGTAACAATAATACTATTGTTGACAATGATAATAATGAGAAATGTTTCTTAAGCATCAACTCATCAGGGTCATGTGACTCTGAAGACTGGAGTAATGATGTTGAAAGTTCAGCTTTGATCACAGGAATAAATTACACTTTACTATATATTCACATAGAAAACAGCTATTTTGAATTCTAATAATATTTCACAATTTTGACTGTGTTTTTTTGTATTTTAATCAAATAAATACAGCCTTAGTAGAAAAAATCCTAGTGATCCAAAAATTGGTCTGTGTGAGGTTTTCTTACTCGGTTGACCTTGAAGTTTGGATGGGGATATAGAAAGCATCATTCTCTCTAATTCTTCATCATCCTCCATTTCTGTAAAACAAAGCATAAAAGCAAAGATGCGAATCATATGTCATCCCACATTTTATTGATTCAACTTAACCTTATGTATACTCAACTGTACTGGCAACAAACCTAGAGGATGAGAGGCAGATGGTGTAAGGCCAGTGGAAGCAGGTTTCGCTGAAACACTCTGAAGCTGGCTCTTTTTCTGAGTGAGGTACTGCTGCAGCCGATACATTTTGCTGCCTGGGACACACTGTTTCTGGAGGATGAATGCAGCATATCCATCTGCTCTGCTCTCCCAAACATCCCTCCAAGTCTTTTCTGCATTAATCCCAAAGCCTACCAAGTTGTCATCTTCATTCCTCACAGGTGGTGCTACTGATCTTCCAGTTAAATACTTCAGGAGGTCCTCGATTTCCTGGAAGCTTCTACTGTACTCAAGAAATGAAAGTAGGCTGTCCTTCTTGGGACCCTCTGGTTTAAACTGACCGGCTCTCTCCTCCTCCTCAACCTTCTTAGTCAAGAATATGGTATTGCCTACATCATTCTCTAGCAGCCACCGGAATGACTTGCCTTTGTACTTTCCAAACTGAAGCACATACTCTCCCAGCACCTCTTTTCTGTCAGACACATCTCCTCCTCTCATGAAGACAACAGAGTGCGCATTCTCCTTGACCTTGTCTTCCCTTTGAGGGGCTGATTTGTCCTGGAGATTGGGGTTGTCTTTGATCCTTTTGGCTTCATCTGAGGGATCTTGTCTCAGATATCCAGTAGGCCCTTTCCTGAAGCACACTTTGATCTTGCCAGGGAAGATCACTTTCACCTTCATCCTGCTGTGCTGTACATATACATTCACAAAGAGCTGATTACTGTTTATGATCTGTTGCATTAACACAATTAATTAACACACTTCTATTCTGATTTAAATGATCTTATTTCTTAATAAATAAAACATGGTCTTATTTCTTAATAAATAAAACAACAATTAAATGAACCTCTTTATTATGAAATAATTAATATTAATTGCACAATACCCTCTTTCACACACTATTATTGTGTTTATTTATCTATTTAATCATAATAAAATGTTATTCATATAATATACCATTAAATTGCACACATTTTTTTTTTGTAATTTAAATGTAATATATTTGTGTGTACCATATAATGCATTAAAAGTACTACATCACACTGCACTGTTAACATATATATTTGAAACATTTTATTTGAGTGCATATTAAGAAATTAATGATTAAACATTCAACTTTAACGTTACAAACAAAGATAAGTTACTCTTATAAAATAGCAGCTGTAAAAAATTGTAAGCCAGTACAACAAAAAAAATCTTAGTACCAATTTCCTTCAGTTTTTTTTTGTTAACTCAACTTTTGTAAATAATAGTTATACTAACTGAAATTAAGTTGTCACTCACACAAAAAAATATTTAATTGTGTTAACTTAAGATTGTTAGTTTTGTGGAGAGGTGCAACTATTTTTTAACAAAACTTTTTAAGTTGAGCCAATTCAACATTTTTGGTCTGTAGAACTCAATGTCTGAAGTTGAGTGAACAAAAAAATCCTATTGGAAATTGGTACTAAGCAATAATACGTTACGACTGGAAACTAAAATAACATTGCTTAAGTCAAAAACTGAAAACAGTGAGTCAATGTTAACAAAACATTTATTCTTGTTGAAGGCAACAAAGTACACTTACAAACTGTTAGAAAACTGTAAGTGTAATTTGCAACACTGAAATTGAAATAATACAATACTGCATCACAGTAAAACAGTTTTACACTGCCAATGCACATGAGGAACACAATCTTTCCAAATTTAAAAGACCATCCATCTACAAAGCAATGGACTTTACTAAACATGAAACATTTAAATATCACCTGAATCAACAGTATTTTCAATTTTGACATCAGTCATACACTGGAGGCTAAGGGGGTCCACCAAAGAGCATGCACAGAGAAGTCCAAATTAAACATGATTTAATGACTCGTAAATGTAAGTACACATTGATGGCCTAAGACACGAAACGAGCGGTTTGTGTGAGAAAACGAACAGTATTTATATCGTTTTTACCTTGTGTAATCCAAGTTCAATGAATCAGTTCAATGTTACGCCGGAAGTGATCACTCAATATTTACACGGAGATTTCGGAAGTTTTACCTTTTACTAAACATATTTAGATGTACCGAAATCGTCTTCCATTGCGGTTTCCCGTATATCTAAATATGTTTAGTGAAAGGTAAAACTTCTGAAATCTCTTGTATAAACAAAGAGTGACGTAGGCGTGCAAGCGATCACTTCCAGCGCATGCGCAGACCGAAGCGCCCGTGCCGTCAGATCATTTTGTCATGGCTATGATTACAAGAGGTAAAAACGATATAAATACTGTTCGTTTTCTCACACAAACAACTCGTTTCGTGTCTTAGGCCATCAATGTGTACTTACATTTACGAGTCATTAAATCATGTTTAATTTTGACTTCTCTGTGCATGCTCTTTGACGTGAACCGATTGAGGACCCCCTTCACCTCCAGTGTATGACTGACAGACAACACCGGTTTGACCAAAAAATGTCAAAATTTAAAATGCTGTGGAAACAAAGACACCTACATCTTGGATCCCCTTGAGGTAAGCTAAAACATATCAAAAATTAATTTCAAAGTGAACTATCCCTTTAAACACTGCTGTTAAAACATTACAAAACACTAAACACTAACACTGAGTATCGATTCAACCATGAAAATTGAAATACTGCAATAAAACAGTATTACAAAGCGCTAACACGGAATATGAAATGTAGCTGAAAAGTAGCAAATGTAAACATTTTAGAGAATTCAAGGCTAAGTCTTTAAAATTCAAATTTCACTAAACAATATAGATTAAAGGGTTAGTTCACCCAAAAATGAAAATTTTGTCAGTATTTACTCACCCTCATGTTGTTCCAACCCCGTAAGACCTTCGTTCATCTTCGGAACACAAATTAAGATATTTAAGATATTAAGATCGCTCCTGCATACAGTCCATAGGCTTCTTGAGGGACTGGCTCTTGCTGTCCTCGAAAAGTCATTAAAGACATCGTTAAAATAGTCCAAGTGACTACAGGGGCTCAATCTTAAGTTTATCAAACGACGAGAACACTTTTGTGCGCAAAAAAACAACAAAAATAACGACTTTATTTCAACTATTCACTTCCTTCTCCATACGCCAGTAGTCAGTTAACGTAGTGTGATTGCGTAGAGCTACGTCACACGTAGGCTCACTATTGGCCGACGCTGGTCATGTGTGTGTGATGCGTGTGACGTACAATAACAGAAGCTTACGCTATTAAACTAGTAACCTGACTCGCGCAGAGGGAGAAATAAACGAATAGTTGAAATAAAGTCGTTATTTTTGTTGTTTTTTTGCGCACAAAAGTGTTCTCGTCGTTTGATAAACTTAAGATTGAGCCCCTGTAGTCACTTGGACTATTTTAACGATGTCTTTAATGACTTTTCGAGGACAGCAAGAGCCAGTCCCTCAAGAAGCCTATGGACTGTTTGCAGGAGCGATCTTAATATCTTAAATATCTTAATTTGTGTTCCGAAGATGAACGAAGGTCTTACGGGGTTGGAACAACATGAGGGTGAGTAAATACTGACAAAATTTTCATTTTTGGGTGAACTAACCCTTTAATCTATATTGTTTAGTGAAATTTGAATTTTAAAGACTTAGCCTTGAATTCTCTAAAATGTTTACATTTGCTACTTTTCAGCTACATTTCATATTCCGTGTTAGCGCTTTGTAATACTGTTTTATTGCAGTATTTCAATTTTCATGGTTGAATCGATACTCAGTGTTAGTGTTTAGTGTTTTGTAATGTTTTAACAGCAGTGTTTAAAGGGATAGTTCACTTTGAAATTAATTTTTGATATGTTTTAGCTTACCTCAAGGGGATCCAAGATGTAGGTGTCTTTGTTTCCACAGCATTTTAAATTTTGACATTTTTTGGTCAAACCGGTGTTGTCTGTCAGTCATACACTGGAGGTGAAGGGGGTCCTCAATCGGTTCACGTCAAAGAGCATGCACAGAGAAGTCAAAATTAAACATGATTTAATGACTCGTAAATGTAAGTACACATTGATGGCCTAAGACACGAAACGAGTTGTTTGTGTGAGAAAACGAACAGTATTTATATCGTTTTTACCTCTTGTAATCATAGCCATGACAAAATGATCTGACGGCACGGGCGCTTCGGTCTGCGCATGCGCTGGAAGTGATCGCTTGCACGCCTACGTCACTCTTTGTTTATACAAGAGATTTCAGAAGTTTTACCTTTCACTAAACATATTTAGATATACGGGAAACCGCAATGGAAGACGATTTCGGTACATCTAAATATGTTTAGTAAAAGGTAAAACTTCCGAAATCTCCGTGTAAATATTGAGTGATCACTTCCGGCGTAACATTGAACTGATTCATTGAACTTGGATTACACAAGGTAAAAACGATATAAATACTGTTCGTTTTCTCACACAAACCGCTCGTTTCGTGTCTTAGGCCATCAATGTGTACTTACATTTACGAGTCATTAAATCATGTTTAATTTTGACTTCTCTGTGCATGCTCTTTGACGTGAACCGATTGAGGACCCCCTTCACCTCCAGTGTATGACTGACAGACAACACCGGTTTGACCAAAAAATGTCAAAATTTAAAATGCTGTGGAAACAAAGACACCTACATCTTGGATCCCCTTGAGGTAAGCTAAAACATATCAAAAATTAATTTCAAAGTGAACTATCCCTTTAAACACTGCTGTTAAAACATTACAAAACACTAAACACTAACACTGAGTATCGATTCAACCATGAAAATTGAAATACTGCAATAAAACAGTATTACAAAGCGCTAACACGGAATATGAAATGTAGCTGAAAAGTAGCAAATGTAAACATTTTAGAGAATTCAAGGCTAAGTCTTTAAAATTCAAATTTCACTAAACAATATAGATTAAAGGGTTAGTTCACCCAAAAATGAAAATTTTGTCAGTATTTACTCACCCTCATGTTGTTCCAACCCCGTAAGACCTTCGTTCATCTTCGGAACACAAATTAAGATATTTAAGATATTAAGATCGCTCCTGCATACAGTCCATAGGCTTCTTGAGGGACTGGCTCTTGCTGTCCTCGAAAAGTCATTAAAGACATCGTTAAAATAGTCCAAGTGACTACAGGGGCTCAATCTTAAGTTTATCAAACGACGAGAACACTTTTGTGCACAAAAAAACAACAAAAATAACGACTTTATTTCAACTATTCGTTTATTTCTCCCTCTGCGCGAGTCAGGTTACTAGTTTAATAGCGTAAGCTTCTGTTATTGTACGTCACACGCATCACACACACATGACCAGCGTCGGCCAATAGTGAGCCTACGTGTGACGTAGCTCTACGCAATCACACTACGTTAACTGACTACTGGCGTATGGAGAAGGAAGTGAATAGTTGAAATAAAGTCGTTATTTTTGTTGTTTTTTTGCGCACAAAAGTGTTCTCGTCGTTTGATAAACTTAAGATTGAGCCCCTGTAGTCACTTGGACTATTTTAACGATGTCTTTAATGACTTTTCGAGGACAGCAAGAGCCAGTCCCTCAAGAAGCCTATGGACTGTATGCAGGAGCGATCTTAATATCTTAAATATCTTAATTTGTGTTCCGAAGGTGAACAAAGGTCTTACGGGGTTGGAACAACATGAGGGTGAGTAAATACTGACTGAATTTTCATTTTTGGGTAAACTAACCCTTTAACATCCTAACAAACAACATCATTATGCCAAAGGTACCCACCAACAGTAAAATCATCTAAAACTCCCTAAATAGCAAGTAGCTTATTCTTTAGAGACTGGACTCTGTTGGTGCACTTTTCTCCCAATCCCACAAAGATGTTATGCACTGCCTCAAATGTATATTTTAGTCCTTTTGAATATTCAATGTTCAGCGCATAGAGAAGTCCAAAGAGTACCATGAAAGCAGTAGGAAAGTCAGGTAGGTCCTCCATGACGGCGGTTTCCTCAAGAATGATGGCGAAGTTTAGACATGTCTTTGTTGTCTGAGATAGTCCTCCATGACTTCAAGGATGCACAATTTCACACCTCTTGTGTAGGTTTCTTTCAAATCAGTGTCCTAAGAATGATATAAATTTCATTAAAAAATGGTTGTGCATATGTACAAAAAAAAAAAAAAAAAAAAAAAAGCTCAAACTCTTGCAAACAAAACATGGCACTGTGACAAGCAGCACAAGGATAAGAGCCATGTGTCCCGTAAAGCTGTAGCGTGTCTGTGTGATAAGATATCTGTTGTCTAGAGGAAGATAAATTATTTTAATTATGATTTACTTCTACACGAATCCTTAAAGATCGTTTAAAGAGACTTAAAAAAGAGTGTCACTGAAAATGTATTAGGGATGGGCAAAGGGTCAGAAATGAAGGGGGCTTAGGGCAAAATAATCTACAAAAACTGACAACAAAAATGTAATCTATACTTCCACAATCTTGACCTATGTGATTATCACATAGGTCACATTTAAATGTAGCTTGCACCGTTGTTTTATCAGAATTTGTGTTGACCCTATTTTCAACGCACCTGGTGTTTTGAAAGAGCAGACACACTCAGGGTACAGGCACAAAAATGGTTCACGTCAGCCTGGGCGCCAGTGCTTTAGCCTGCAGTGTCTCAGCAGCAGATTTTGACTGGCACAACTGTATTTGCAGTATCTACACTGCATGAAGTTTCCTCTCAAGGTAGATCTGTTTAAGAAAAAATAAAAGACAAACGTGAATGATCAGTTTCATGAAAGGCAAATTAATGACAATGAATTTACACTGCAAAAAAAGCTTTTCTTTAATTATAAATTAATATTTGTGTCTTGTCTCCAGTCCAAATATCTAAAAAGTCTTAAATCAAGATGCATTTACTAGATGGGTAAAATAAAAGTAGAAAGCAAAAATAAGTGAGTTTTTGCTTAAAAAAAAGCAAAATTATCCAATAAGAAAAATAAAATTCAATTAATTAATTCAAACAAAAACAAGAATATTTTTCCTATTCCATTGGCATACAATTTAGTTTTTTTTTTTAAAGTAAAAATTCGATTAATTTATTTCCCCTGAAAACCAGACAAATTATCTTATGGCTTTAAGCCTAGTAAATGCATCTTGATTTGAGACTTTTTAGATATTTGGACTGGAAACAAGACACAAATACTAAATAAGAAAGCTTTTGTCGCAGTGTATAACGTTACCTAGGCTTATGCTTTTTATCTCTTCAGTAAATATTAATCAATATGTACTGTTGGAGCAATAATGTAATATGTTAAAGTCAAGAATGTGCGCGAATGAAAAAAATGATAACGTTACTTTGCAGCAAAAGCCATCACAACAAAAAACTTAACGTAAATATTTCACGTCACGTTAAAATAATGAAAAATAAAGCTTGATAGATTGATTAAAAATAAAGCTAGATAGATTTAAACATTCAGTAATGTTGATATCTTACAATGTTAAGGTTAGTGGTGTTTATATTTTTTTCCAAATTAACTAATATCAACTAATTCAGAAGTAAAGTACAACAAAAAACAAATAAAAGCACTCACCATTTATTCCTCCGTCTGGATTATTATCGCCCACGTGCTGCCTCTAGATTTTCTGTAAAATCTGTAAAGATTTTTCTTCGGCCGCTTGATGATGAACAACAACACGCCTGTTCTTCTCAAATTGTTTCTCCCGCATTAAAAAGTGAACGTTGACTTCTTCTTCTTCTTCTTCGTTTGTTGTTTTATGGCGGTTGGCAAACCAACTTTCGGTGCATTACAGCCACCAACTGGACTGGAGTGTGAAGCACTTAATAGATGAAAACGATAATCAACTCAAAAAAAAAATTAATAAATTAAAAAAAAAAAATATATATATATATATATATATATTTCTATACTTCAAATTCTCCTGTCTATTCCTATTTCTTACTATATATTTTAACTTGTTCTACTTGCTTTCCCAATAAACTTTCCATACTTAATACTCCCACACCCAATTTCCTTACTATCCTCTTAAGTACTAACCTTTCTTTTTCATATTTTCCACATTTAATTAAAACATGTTCAATTGTTTCTGCCTGACCACAGTACATACATTTTCCCGTATCATGTTTTCCTATCTTAAACAAGGAATGATTTAATCGTGTGTGCCCTATTCTAACACGACAAAAAATTGTATCCTCTTTCCTATTCCTAAAAACACTTCTTCCATTTCCTACTTGCTTCTGAATACTATACAAGTTTCTACCCTTCCCCTCATTATCCCATTGTTCTTGCCATTTATTTTTTATGTATTCTTTAATTTTACTTTTAACTTCATTTTTGCTCAATGTCACTTGCACATTGATCTCATTATGTTTTACTGCTTGCTTTGCTGTTCTATCTACCACTTCATTTGCCTCCAGCCCCACATGAGCAGGAACCCATACAAACACTATTAAGCTTTCACTACTTATTCTTAGCAAACTAGCAAGTATCTCATATATAATGTCTTGCCTTAATACTTTATTTCCACTTACAAGACTTGTGATTACTGCAAACGAATCAGAACATATAGCTACTACTCTCGGTTTTACATCTTCTACCCAATGTAATGCAACCATTATGGCAACTAATTCTGCTGCAAATACGGAGATATGGTCAGTTATTCTTTTCTTGATACTTATTTGAAACTTAGGAATATATACAGCAGCTGCTGTTCTTCCAGATATGATCCTTAGACCCATCAGTAAATATTTGCACCCATGTTGAATACTTCTGTTCTAAGTACTGCTGTGCTATAATATTCTTTGGGATGTCTTTCTTATTTTTAATTTCCATATGAATTTGAAGATCAATTATTGGCCTAGGAAACAACCATGGTGGGATACTGGGTAAAATCACTGTAGGGCTTACATTACAATCTTCAATACCTGCTTCTTTTGCTTCTCTTTGAACACACCATCCCAAGCTTTTAATGTTTTTATTCCCATGTTCCCAACATTCTTCTAGTACCCCCTTCACAGGATGATTCTTTTTATGACCTTTTATATTAACCCAATAATTCAGTCTTATTTTATGTCTTCGAAATTTTAACGGAGCAACACCAACTTCTACCTGTAGTGCTGCTATGGGAGATGATCTGACTGCACCACAACATATTCTTAGAGCTTGATTTTGTATTGCTTCTATCTTTTTAAGTGTAGTCTCGTTTGCAAATCCGTAAACTATACTTCCGTAATCTATACTTGATCTAATTAAAGTATTATATATTCTTTTCAACGATAACCTACAAGCCCCCCATTCTACCCCTGTTAAACATCTTAATATATTTATCCCTTTTTTACATTTCTTAATCAGATTTTTAGCATGTATAGCAAAAGTCATCCTGGAATCCATTCACACACCAAGATATTTGACAACCGGCACTTGCTCCAATTCCTGCTTATACAACTTTAACCTGACCTCTGGTGTTTTTTTCCTATTAGTAAAACATATAACCTGGGTTTTAGCCACATGTAGTCTAAAACTCCAATTATCTGCCCACCCCTCTACTTTGTCCACTGCTTTTTGAATACTTTGTGTTACACTTGCAATATTACGACCTCTCTTCCATATTGCCCCATCATCCGCAAATAATGCTCTTCCTACATCTCCTTTTATATTACAAAAAACATCATTTATCATAATATTAAATAAAACTGGGCTGCATACACTTCCTTGAGGAGTTCCGTTCTCTATCTTATATATCTCTGAATACTCTACTCCTATCCTAACTTGAATTGTTCTTTCAAGAAGAAAGTCCATAATCCAATTATACATCTTTCCTCCTATTCCCATACATTTAATTTTTATTAAAAGTCCCTCTTTCCAAAGCATATCATAAGCTTTCTCAATGTCAAACAACACCCTTACCACTACTTCTTTATTAGCTTGAGCTTTCCTGACATCTGCTTCCAAGCTTAACACAGCATCCATAGAATTTCGCCCTACCCTAAATCCACTTTGATATGGTGACATAAGTCCTTTAAATTCTAATATATAATTTAATCTTCGTACAATCATTTTTTCCATCAATTTACATAAATTAGCGGTTAGTGCAATTGGCCTATAATTAATTGGATTTGATTTATCCTTTCCAGGTTTGCCTATGGGTATTATTATTCCATGTTTCCATGAAGATGGAAGCTTTCCCTCATTCCAGATCTTATTAAATAAATTTAAAACCACTTTCAATGATCTATCTGACAAATGTTGAATCATAACATATATCATCTCTTCCAGGAGATGTATGTTTGACTCCTGCTAAAGCTAATTTTAATTCATAAATACTAAAATCTGCATCTAAGCTTTCTCCAGTAGGGTTTCTTTTCATCAACACGTCTGGATGCTGACTCTTTTCCTTATTTCTATTCTGTTTAATATCCTCTGTTACATTATCATCACTATGTACTTTAACAAATATTTTAGCCAGCATTTCTGCCTTTTCTTTATCTGACACAGCCATTTCCCCAACATCATTTTTTAAAGCTGGTATAGCTTGATTCCTATATATTCCTCCCATTTTTCTAATTGATCCCCACATTTCACTTATGTCAACATCTCCTCCTATTGAATTACACCAATCTCTCCAGTATTTCTTTTTAGCTGTTCTTACTATTCTTCTCACCTCAGCTAGTGCTCTCTTATAATAGATAAAATCTTCAAATAAATTAGTTTTTTTAATTTTCCTAAATGCTTTATTCTTATTTTTAACTGCAGTACTACATTCTTCTGTCCACCACGGGACTACTTTTCTTTTTTTACATTTTCCCTTTTTACCTATTACTTTATCTGTTACCTCAAACAGTACTTTGCATATTTTCTCATTATATTCCTCTATATCCTCTATCGCATCTAGATCTAATGCTGTTATTTCTACCTCGCTTAAGTACTCATATGCTTCCCAATTTGCTTTTTTAAATCTTCATCTTGGTGCTAATAACACATTATGCTCCAATACACTCATCCCTACCTTACTTAAAATTATATAGTGATCACTACCCATTATATTTTCTTCCCACACATCCCATATACATTTATTTGCTATTTCTTCAGAAACCAATGTTAAATCAATTGCAGACCCAACTCCACGAATCAAATCTATTCTCGTGTTCCTCCCATCATTTAAACATACTAATCCATTGCTATCTAAAATTTCTTCTACTACCCGCCCATTATAATCATCACTACTACTTCCCCATAAAGTGCTATGTGCATTAAAATCTCCACACCAAATTACTTTATGATTTCCTGACCCAATAACCTTTTCTAACTCTTTACTAAGTTTACTTTTTATAAACGTTTAGTTTTATAATTTATTATTCGAATAGTTTGATTCCCTGCAAATACTTCTATCACCACCAACTCATATGCTTCATTCTCATTAATGACTCTATATTCTATATCATTTTTAATAAAGGTGGCCACCCCACCTCCATTTCCTGCCACTCTATCTTTCCTTACTATATTATATCCTTGCAATACAAAATTTATGTGAGGTTTTAACCACGTTTCTTGAATGCAAATTATATTAGTTTCTTTTCTTGTTGATCTACATACCTCTTAAATTCTTGTCCATTTGCAATAATACTTCTAGCATTCCATTGCAAAATCGTTAAAACCATTATTATGGACTTCCACCTGAAGTTTGAGAACTTGATTTAGCCATAAGCGTTTCGTTTATTTTTTCCGAGGTTACTCCAGCTACGTTCAAGTATTTCTCTGCTGCCCTTATTATGATTTTAATTCTTTCTGTTCTACTTTCCGTTTGAGCCGAACAATTTATCACCTCGACCATAAATGACACGAATTCCATTTTTCCAATCACCAATTTATCTTCATTTGTCTTTACCTGAACCATATCAATTTCATTGCCCTCCTTAAGCCTAGTTCACACTACGTGATTTTAAGCCCGATTTGCAAATCGTTGAGTCGCCGACAAGTCAGGGTGTTATCGCGTGCAAATCGCGGGCGATTAGCGGACGATTAACGCTCGCCAATCCGTTAGTGTGAAAGAGCCAACAACGCATCAAAGACAGCTCGCAGACGCCTCGCAGACAGGTCACCGAGCTCAGAAAAATATCTAGCCTGCTAGATATCTCGAGCAGTCGCGCGACTCAATCTCAGTGATGTCATGAGTATAGCCAATCATAGCAACGCATGGGTTGAGGACACCAGGTAAATCTTACTTTTTCTTTTTTGCATTTTTTTTCTCAGAGCAGATCGTCGAGCAAACAGTGTGCAGCACTAGTTTCTGTCTGACGTCCATATTCGCGTGTTGTGTTCTTCTCTGTAGTTTCGCGTCATTTCTGGTTCGTTTTATTGCGTGGTTTTTCGTTACAAAACATGGTTTCTAGACCAGATAGAATCGTGTTGTTGTCAACTCGTTATTTGTTTGATTATTTTCAGGATTTAGACCGTACTATAGTACTGAAACAGCTCTCATTGAGTCACAAATGATATGCTCTTATCATCCGATCGTGGTTGTATCTCTAGCTAGTCCAAAACTTTGAAAAAGGTACGCTCCACCAGCGGGGAGTCCCCCCGCGGACGGCGGTCCCCGGACGAGCGCGCCGGCCCCCGAAATTTTTGGGGGTCCGGCCGACGGCGCCCCGGCCTCGCCCGGCGCGGGGGGGCGCGCGGCGGGCGGCCGGGCCCGAGCCCCCCGGGGGGCCGACGGGAGCGGCCCGAAGTTCGGGGGGCGCGGGGGCAGTTCCGCCTCGACCCCCACGGGGGAGCCGTCCACGGAACGTCCCGCGAACCCACTAAACGTCCGACCGGCCACCGCTCCCACAGGGGGTCCGG